TTCTACCCGACTAGTGAGCCTTTACAATAAGCTTACTGGCACCCATCCCTCACTGTAACACATACCCCGTCAACTACTCCCTTTCACAATAGCAACGACAAGGGGAAGAAGTGGTGGATAAGCTGGCACAGCAGCAACCTGCAAACTCGACATACCAAGAGGTGGGAGGGAATGGTCAGAAAGAAGTGGCTCCCAAAGGTGGGTCATGACAGTTAGAGAACCACAGCTATAGATCTATTATCAATAAGATTCTAAAGGGTTCTGATGATAGTAGATGACACACAGAATTAATGAGGTTTTTGACTTTTTCTATCGTCCAGAATTCTAGGTAACAGAGGAGCTAATCTCCAGGTCCAGTGATTGAGATTAGCTCTTTCTAAGGGGCCCAACTGAGTAGGTGTCTTCCTTTCTCATCTGAAGATGGAAACAGATCCAGTTTCCGAAATGTCGTGTCCTCAATCACCTAGAATTCTGGACAATGGAAAAAGTTCAAAACCGCAGTAATTCTGTGTATTATCAATAGGATTAGAAAGGTTCACAGATGGGTTACAGGATGTGAACTCATCTAACATCTACATTAAAGCTACGTGCTTATAATGATCACAATAAGCATATATATGATCTTCCACAATTCATTTCCTATTTATATTCCAGTTACTTAACTCCTGGTATATGTCACTGCTAGCAAAATGCATGCACCTTTATTAAGAAGCAACAGTCTTTCTGTTCATTTACTTTTCAGTAAAGTTTCTAATTAAATGCATTTTGTATGCTGATATTATGACTGGATTACTGTTGTCACAACTGTATACCCCTGTCCAATGTGCATTATTGATTAAAAAGTGTATCATGTTCAACAGTAGTTACACCTTCATGTGGGGTATTTTTGATGATTGTTATTAGGGCCTTCTTACTAATACTTGTTTTAGTTACTGTACTGTACATTTAATAATTTCTGTTTTATAGGATTTGAAGCTTTCATGGCAAATAAATTAAAATCTCAGGCAATCAGCTATGTCAATGTTGAATTAAAAAACCAGTGTTTTAGAGATCTCAGTCTCCATCCTCTGGGTCCATGTCTGTTCCTGTTTGTGCAAAATAATGTGTATCTCTTACCTGAATGGAGGGCACTGTGGGGCTCTTGTCAATGTGTGTAGTCTTGTCATTACTCCTATGACAACCCACTTCTTCGGAACAGTTTGTTGGCCCTGAAAAGGACTGTGGTTGCTGAGATGCTTGACCGGTGAGGTAGGGCGGCGCGCACCGGTAAGGA